AAGACTGTTATTTATCAGGACTTAAAGAAGATATCTCATCAACCTGGTCACTGAGGGGCAACAAGGTGGAACTAAAGCCAGGCGGTGGTTTGACAGTAAAATAACACAGCAGGAAGTAAAGTTGAGGCGGGTCGCAGGTGAACCGGGGGTCACACACGGCTTTGATGTTTCAAGACAAAGAGGCTCCACATGATGACGGTGTTTTAATGTTAAAACAGGTTCTTTGTGTTTAACTGTGACCAAAGTTTTTTTCATTTACCTTGTGGTGTTCCTCTAAAAAGTCCTTTCTTCATGCAATCAGAGGAAAATGACTGATGCTGACAGCAGAGGTTCTCTAAATAAAACACAATTGCAAATTAAAGATTAAAGGCTTAGTGTTTCCCTTGATATAATTAGTTCCACTTCATGTTGAGAAATAAAAACATTGCAGTTCAGGTTACACCTTTAAAGGGATCTCCGGTTGGTTGGAACAATTTACCTTCTGTGATAAAATGAGAGCGAGATCATAAAAATACTGTAGGCTGTTTATTTTGTATAATAAAAACTAATATAGATACACAAACGTTGCCATTTTATTTAAGTTGCAATGCATTTTGGGTAATTTATGTAGCTAGATTGTTGTGCGAGCTCCATTCAGCTTGAAATGACATTTTGGATATTATCAGATGTTCAGCTCTATAATTTGAACTGGACTGTGTTTAATTCAATTCAATTCAGTTTATTTCTATAGCGCCAAGTCACAACAGAAGTCATCTCAGGACACTGAACAGAAACATTCATATTTAAAAATAATAATTTAACATTATTTATCTGAGGAGCAGACTGCTTTGAGTTTAACTCCATCACAGACTCTCATTTTGAGCATGAAGGCGACAGTGGAAAGAAAAAACTCCCTCATGAGGAAGAAACCTTTAGCAGAACCAGACTCAGGACAAGCGGCCATCTGCTTCAACCGGCTGGGTTTGAGAGAAACAGATACACAATGGCAGGTCAAGAATCACGTTAAGATAGAAATAGTATCAAATGAAAACTATTCAATTTTAACAATTCATTTTAAGAAATTAGGTCAATTTGTCCTCCAGTAAGCCTATAGCAGCATAACAAGCCAACCCTAACTAATATATACACAGTATATTTATGACTTAAGCTCCAGATGTAATTGAGTAGAGCTGTCATTTCTAACCCGAACCCAGAGCCCAGCTCTGCCCGACACGGATTCGGATCGAGCCAGGTCATAATAATTTGCTTAATGTGCAGGCTGGGTCGAGCTTTTGATTGTGTCAGCGGATGCACATGGCCGACGACCCAATTATATGGCAACATGGCTTGCCATAGCATCACCAGTCGTACGCGGCCAGTTCACCACATGCTGACCGGCTGGTTGAAAGAGGTAAAAAGTTCAGTGAAGCTTCAGATGGACTATTGCCAGCGATCCATCAGCCCAAATGGACGTTCATTCAGCTGCTGCTCAGCGGACGTGCGCAGTCGACGACCCAAACAGGTGAGATCATAAAATATACATGTTATAGCAGGATGCAGGCAGAAGCAGGGGAAGCATTTAAAGCGCTTTGAGTGCTCCTCAGCTCTGATCTTCTGTCCCCTCAGTCGCGCGCTTCACTTACCATTAATAATAGTCGGAGGTATAAGCAGTCAAAGCTTAATTAAAAATGCTGGGTTTTTGTTTTGGGTTCGGACCTGTAATTACTGTTAATTCAGTGCATCGGGTGGGGTTTGGAAATTATGGCTATGATCTGGGACTGGGTCGGGATGGAATTTTTGGACCCGAGTGCAACTGTGCAACAGATTGTAGTGTAAAGCGCTTTGAGTATCTTGATCAGATAGAAAGGCGCTATATCAGTACAGTCCATTTATCTTGATCAGATAGAAAGGCGCTATATCAGTACAGTCCATTTACCATTTAACTATCCAGAGCTAATATTGGTATAACATTTGCTTCAGAGGTAATATATATTTTTCGTGTTAGCTCCAAAGCTAATACCGTTAGCTTCATGGCTAAACTATATAGGCTATGCCATTAGTTCTAGAGCAAATAAATTAAACATCAAGTTGATCACGTTTGATCGTTTCAACTCATATGTTGTGCATAAGGACTAATACAAAATGTAACTTTATTTTCACGTTATAACTTTTTAGCCTTGACTCCTTGTGTTTTCGTCTCTGCCACAACTGATGCATGTCGTCGCCCCAGAATACATTGCATTGGTAAAATGATGTTGTTGTCCTTAGATAACAAGAACAGGAGTAAGTAGGAGTTTTCATGTGTCATAAAGAACAGCTTTTAGTAGAATAGAGAATTAACATTATATTAGGGCCAACATGTGCAAGTAGTCAGAGATCCCTTGAGGATGACTCAGGTACTACACCAAAGTTTAGCTTCATATCTGTAAATCCAGTTGAGTTAGTCATCTTTGTGTTGGATGAGGTCCACCACTTGTGGTTACCATCTTAAAATGGACTGACTCAGTTGTGGATGTAGTAACTTTCTTAATATTTTATTTAAATCTGTCTTCTTTTTTATTAGATTTTTTTTTTGCTCTCAGACAAGACTGGCTCCAACAGCTAATGTCAAAATTATAAGGAAGAATATCATATGATCTGTTAGTGCTTAAAGTTTGTGTTGGAGATGAGTCTCAGCTAGTACCATTCCAAATTTTTTGCCCAATAACTATCAAATTTGCTGTGTTACATACATTTTTTCTGTGTCGTAATATCAGTATGCAATGGTGGCTATCTTGAATCAAGTTGGCTCTAACAGTTGATTGTAAAGGTAAAGCTATATAACCTGAACTAAAACATAAATGCAATACCAGCCCAGTACCTCCACATCCAGCATCTTCATCTCCAGTATTTTATGAGACAGCTGCTGCAACAATCAGTTTGCATAACCAAATAATTGCTGCACAAACGGTCAGGAATCGGCTCAGGGAAGCTCATCTGCATGCTCGTCGTCCTCATCGGTGTCTCCACGTGACTGCAGTTTGCCATCGTAATCTACTTGAGTGGGTAAATGCTCACATTCGATGCCGTATGTCATGTTAGAGAGGTTCTCTTCATGGCTAAATCTTGGTTTTCACTGTACAGGGAAAATGGCAGACTGCGTATATGGCATCGTGTGGGTGAGCGGTTTGCTGACAGTGTTGTGAACGTTGTGGTCCGTGGTGGCAGTGGGGTTATGGTATAGGCAGGCGTATGTCATAGACAATGAGCACAGGGGTTGGTGTGGCTGCACATGGTCTGTGGTTGTGAGGCCAGTTGGGTGCACTGCCAAGTTCTCTGAACATGAACATTCCTGCAGCCAGCATGACAATTGCTGCTCCCTCAAAACTTGTAACATCTGTGTTGTTGTGCTGTGTAATGTCACTTTCTCTTGATGGCATTAATCTGTCCTTCAGCTCTAATGTTAAAAATCTTGGTGTTATTTTTGATCAGGACATGTATTTTAGCCCACACATTAAAAATGTTACTAGAACTGCCTTCTTCCACCTGCATAATATCACTAAAATCAGAAACATCTAAAAATGATGCAGAAAAACTGGTTCATGCATTTGTCACATCTAGACTGGACTATTGCAATGATTTGTTATCTGGATGTCCAAATACTTCTTTAAAACATCTTCAGTTGATCCAAAATGCTGCTGCCAGTCTTAACTGGAGTTAGTGGGAGAGATAATTTCTCTCCAGTTTTAGCTTCTCTCCATTGGCTCCCTGTCAAATCCAGAAATGGATCAAAATCTTACTCCTAACACACAAAGCCCTCAACAACCTAGGTACATCTTATTTTAGAGATCTTATTGTTCCATATTTTCCTAACAGAGCACTTTGCTCTCAGACTGCAGGCTTATTTACGGTTCCTAGATTTTGCAAAAGCAGAATGGGAGGAAGATCTTTCAGTTATCAGGCTCCTCTCTTGTGGAACCAACTTCCAGTTTCTTTCTATGAGGCTGACACATTATTCAGTTTTAAGACTGGGATTAAGACTTTCCTTTTTGATAAATCCTATAGTTAGGGTTGGCTTGTTATGCTGCTATAGGCTTACACTACTGGAGGACAAATTGACCTAATTTCTTAAAATGAATTGTTAAAATTGAATAGTTTTCATTTGATACTATTTCTATCTTAACATGTGATTCTTGACCTGCCATTGTGTATTGTGTACTGCTTAGTGGGGCAACAGTTTACTTGGGACTCCTCAGACTGATGAAGCCCTCCGGATAGAGGGCGGAATGTCTTTCCACAAAAAATAAACTGTCCAGACGACCTGACTGAGCATTATTGGATTTTGTACCTGGATGATTGCGCATGAACTTTGATGTCTTGAACCACTTTGGCTGTGGCTGCCTGCCTGGGAGGAGTCGACAGGGGACAGGACAACCCCCAGAAACTATCTTATCACCAGCAAATTGATCGGTCCACTTAAGGAGTGTACTGCTTAATGGGGAAACAGTTTGGGACTCCTCAGACTGACGAAGCTCTCCGTATAGAGGGCGAAACGTCTTTCCACAAAAAATAAACTGTCCAGATGACCTGACTGAGCATTATGGGAATTGATAAAACTGCATATTTTAGAGTGGCCTTTTATTGTGGTCAGCCCAAGGTTCATCTGTGCAATAACCCATCCATCCAAACATCCATTATCTTTACCTGCTTCTTCCTTTTCAGGTCACTGGTGCCCTTAGTCAGCCATCACTGTTCGAAAGGCAGAGCTTGGTATGCCACAGCTGTGAGGTGGATGGATTATCTCAGCAAAGGAAAAGTGCTCACTAACACAGATCTACACCAAGGTGTGAACAATATTTGAGAGAAAGCTCATGAAAAATGGGAGCAAAAGCAAAAGTGGTTCATATATTTGCTCAGTGTATAATGATTACTTGAATTTCATTCAAATCTGTCCAATGGATTACGAGATATTTTGCTGGCACGTGCACACATATGGGCAAAACACTATTTAAAAAATAAAACCCACCAAGATAGCTTTAATATAACTGATTGGTATTGCTTTAATGTCTTTTTTCCCCATAGGAACAGGTAAGCCATGACAATAGAATGTAAATGATAAGCGCAAACAAATTCTGTCTTCTACATTCATACAACATACAAGTTCCATAGGTCGCAAAATCTATCTCCGTTTTTTTTTTTAATCACACAAGGTAACTTCTGACTCGGGTTCATATTTTATTTTTACATCTCCAAACGATGTCAGTAGTCACGTTTCGTTCTCCGTACCTCCTTGTTCCAACAAAGCGCCACCATACATTCTTCAAAATGTCGACACTGAAAAAGTGACGATAAAACAAACATCTCAGGGGAAAAAAAAAAAAAAGAATAAATAGAATAAATAAATGGCTGACTCTCGTAGAAGACACCTTTGGCAATCGGACAAAGCTGCAGCTGTTGAAGCTTTAGCACGGCGGTGAGAAAAGTTGGGATTTATTTACCTCCGGAGCTGACACCCGGGTGAAACTGATGTCACCCCTCGCTGTTGTAAGAGCTTTGTTTATGCTACGCACAGCAGGCCACGGACGCTTTTCTACAAACTCAAAATATTTCGTATTGTGTGCAAGCTGAATGAGTTAACTTTACATCCCATAATGCATCTGTGCACTCCGGCTAGCTAAAATTGCTACGTTAGGAAAAAAAAACACAAATAAAACATGCTACACGTGAATCTTTGGCAAAAAAAAAGATAAATTCTAAGTAAACAGCTGTTCATGTTGTGTAGTACATGAACATCTGTTTACTGCAGTAAAGTATAGTTAAATCTAACCGCCTGCGATGCTTCAGCTTTTGGCCGTCCGTGCAGCTCGGACTCTTCTTCGACTCTTCTGCTTGAGAGAGAGCAAAACTGAAAAACACGACGAGCCGAAAACAAACGTACACATGTACAAAGTAATGTACACCATATATTCAAACACATTTCAAAGTCCTCAAACTTTGAAATCATTAGCCAAAATAAGTTTTTTTTTTACTCAACCCAGTTTGTTTATCTAGACTGTACAATATATGTATATATGAGTAATCATGAGGGACCAAAGCAACAAAAATAAATACTTTTTCGCTATGTCACCTTTCAAAGTAGATCATCTATGTACATTTATAATCAATGTCGATTTTTCCTTAGCTTATTGTGTACGGTGGAGTGTTTCAACAAGCAGGCATGGCGCACAGTGTGTGTGTGAGCGTCTTGTTTTTTAATTCATCCTAAAAGGTATCTAAATGCAAAATTTCGCGAACACCATGAAACAAAACAAAATCTGTCTCGAAAGAACCCGAATCAGGAAAAGTACACACACACACAAAAGAAATAAGGCACCTTGTTCGGTTAACTCAAAATATGTGGAGTTGGTTAATCCAACAGGTGCCTTAGACTTTTACATTTTTTTGTTGTTGAGCGAAACAAAAAACTCGAGCATCTCGCCGTTATGTGACTACGTCAACAATGGGTTGTCAGGTTTTTTTCTCCTTTTTTTTAAAACTCTGAGAAGAGTACAAAATGTTGTCTAGTTCATGCAGTCTTTAAGTCATCCACCCTCTAAAGGTTGTTTTTTTCTTCTTCGGTAAATGCACTCAGTCTGTTTTCAGTGGAGGGGAAAAAGGTGCATTTAAGGACAAAAACATGCATAAAGAACAGTGCATAGGTCCGGTTCTTGGTGCGTTCCAGTGTGTTTCAATGGCAGCATCTATCAATGGATCAACTACTGCGAGCAGGGAGCGGTGGAGGATAGAACACTTGGACTGGGACGGCCAAGCGCAAGCCTGAATTTGTGGCGCCATCTCGTGGACGGACTGTCGTCGTGTGTTTTGCTGCGCCACCAAAAGCGGTTCGAGTTGATCCAGATGTGCCGACCGTCCAGACGTTGCACCAACATCGAGTGACAGAGGGGATTCTTTTTTTTTTTTATCCTTCATTTTTTTGATTCAGGTCTGCTATGCACAGTTTAGATGAGTTGTTTCACTGCAGAGCCCTTTCCAACACACAGCAGACCCATACGACCTCTAAAGATTTCACAACAACACAATGTGTTTTTTTTCTCTTGTGGAAAGTAGAACCGAGCTTAAAGATCAAGCTAACATGCATAATGTCTTCAGACATTGTTTTGCTAAAAGCCATTAAGGCCAACTTTTTTTTTTTCCTGAAGACAAGTTCAAGAAGAATTATTTTTGTTCAACACTTCATCTTTTAAAAAGAAGAAATAATAATAATAATGATGGCTTTATAGCTACATCATTCTTGCACTTGTATTGCAATTACCTTTGGTAAATCAATCAACGAACTCAAGGGAAAAACCCTGAAGCTACCTCCCATGTTCCTCGACTGAACTTAGCTTTGCTCCTTTAGCTACTTTTCCCTGCAACGGCCTTCATGTTCGGCTCCACGAAACACGTCCTCGAGCTCCGGTTTGCGCCGTCTCCATCAAACCAACAAGGCAGAGTGGGGGAGGGAAGAAAGAAAGAAAAGGAGAAAAGAAACAAACCGAGAGGGAACAAGAAAAACACAAAGGAGGTAATCGAGTTCTTGCGAAGAAAGACGCCAATGAGGATCGCAACATGGCCAACTGCCGGTCAACGTTTCACCGCTTCATCGTTCTGGAGACAAAGCTGGTGATGGCGGCAGCGGGTTGATCCAGGTCCAGCTCTGCAAACAGGTGACTGACATTGTCTGTTGTGCTTCCTTGTTTCCTCGCAACAAATCCAAAAAGCCTGGAAGGTGAGAAACATGTATTAAACGTCATTGATCTCCAACACGCTGACGTCATTTAGCTGTTCAAGATAAAAACCTACTTCACTAAGCCACCGCCTTCTTTGCCCCATCTGTGGAAAAACAATACTTATATTTAAAACATCTTTAAAACAAGGTTTTTCTAACATTTTTGTGCAAAAAAAACCAAAAAAAAAACGCTTACTTTCTGTTCTGGGGGTCAACATCGCAATAAGTTATCGTGTTAATGGGATAATGTCGCCTGAAGAAAATCCTACGGTGACAAAGAAAAAAAATATTAGCAACAGAAATGATGGTTTGTATTGTTTTCCAGTTTTTTAATGAAGTTTTTTTTTTTTTGCAGATGCATCTGCGTATTTTGTACTGTTTCAGCCAGTCACGTGAAAACGTTCAGCTCATTCAAGAGATGGGTGCTATGACTTTTGTAACTTTTGTTACATTTTAAAATATTCACATTATTTACAAATATTTCTCAAAAAAAATCTCTAAAAATACACTGAGATCTCTTTGGCTCTTTTGAAACTCTGCTTCAGCTATTTCTTTAAGCACCTTTAATGATTGGGGACTGGCAGCCACCGATTATTATCCACCTGACAAGAGTTTCTTAACTTTATATCTTACTCTTTCAGTTATCAGACTCCTCTCTTGTGGAACCAACTTCCAGTTTCTGTCCGTGAGGCTGACACATTGTCCAGTTTTAAGACTGGGCTTAACACTTTCCTTTTTGATAAATCGTATAGTTAGGACATGACCGTCAACAAGGGAGAAGATGGGCACCGGAGGCCATCTTAACACCAACATAACTTGTTTTTTTTTTCCACTTTGGAGTAAGCTGTTGGGGGAGAATCAGTTTTGTTTGGTGTTTCCTCTGACTGATGAAGTCTTCTGGATGTAAGGCGAAACATCTCAGCACAAAGAAAAAGAACCTGTCCAGATGACCTGACTGAACAATGTTGGATTTTATACCTGAATTATTGAGCATGGACTTTAGTCCTATAGTTAGGGTCGGCTTGGGTTTCCTGAGCTGTCCCTTAGTTATGCTGCTATAGGCTTAGACTGCTGGAGGACAAACTGACCACATTTCTTCACTCTGCTGCTGTCTTTACTTACTCTGCTCAACCTGTTTTGTATTTGTATTTTTTCCTATCCTTGACATGTGTTTTTGTCTTTCAGGTACACCTGCACCTACATCTGGACCTGTCTCGCTCCTTCCTGTCCTCTCAAACCAGCCGGTCAAAGCAGATGGTAAATGGTAAATGGTAAATGGACTGTACTTATATAGCGACTTTCTATCTTATTTCAAGATACTCAAAGCGCTTTACACTACAATCTGTGCCTCATTTACCCATTCATTCAGCACTCTACTAGAGCTATACAAAGCTAACTGAACAAATCATTCCAAAGAGACTAAGCAGTGCTTTATATCACATTCATACACTGATGGGACACACATCATAGGCTATGAGGGGTTCAATGTCTTGCCCAGGGACACTTCGACATGTGACTGCTGGTGGATTCGAACCCCCAACTCTCGCATTGGAGGACGACTGCTCTAACCACTCAGCCACAGCCACCTCAGATGACCACTTGTCCTGAGCCTGGTTCTGCTGGAGGTTTCTTCCTGTTAAAAGGGAGTTTTTCCTTTCCACTGTTGCCACTATGCTTGCTCAGGATGGGAGACTGCAATGAAGCCAAGATTCAACGAGTCTGCTGGCTTCCTTAGATAGAGAACTTTACTAACTGGCTTTTCTATGTGAATGTTCCTGTTAAAGTGCCCTGAGACAACTTTGTTGTAATTTGGCGCTATATAAATAAACTGAATTGAATTGTAAACTGTAAAGTTTCTTATATTTTTATCAGTGTAGCTGTAAACACATGTCAGTGACTACACACCTGTGATGTGCACAGACAAATGAGACACAGAAAATGCACGTGAATTGTCTGGTATAGGTAGGTTCTAGATTAGAATTACACCGCTCAGGGTGGCTGTATGTTGGAGCAGCTCTGTTACTTTTATTCTGAATTATTGGTTTTGAAAACTTTAATTCCTCTTTTTTCTGGATGTAAATCACTTTGATCAGATTATTGTTTCCTCTGGTATCAGATGCTGTGCAGCTGGAAGGATTTTTACTGAAACCTTTTTACTTTTGGGCATTTGTTATGATCCGTAACCATGACAACATGGTGTTTTTTTATCAACCAGGAACAGCTGATAAAACATCTCAAAAGGCCCGGGGGCCAAATGTGGCCCTCGTTGACATCTTATCTGGCCCGCAATATGATATGTGAAACCTCAAATACTTCTATCTCTTTCATTTTTTCAGTAATCTTTGATTGTGATGTTGAAAGCACAATAGAGAACATAAAATGAGCTCAACCAAACTATTACTGAGGAACTTGTGACCAAGAAAAGATGCTGGGTATCTGATTAGAGTTAATGTAGTTTCTGAAAATGGCCCTTAGTTTGAAAAAGGTTTTAATTTTGGCCCCCTTTTGTAAGTGAGTTTGACACCCCTGCTCTACAGCGTGCGCCGCCAGCAGATCTGCACCCCCAGTTCACTTTATCTAATGACAACTGTATCCTAACGTACAGAATCACGCGTCGTTGCGCATGTTTGGCAAATACGTTTTGTTTTCCTTCTTCACACCATTCATATATTTAGGAGTATCTCTCACTTAAATTCCATTCAATTTCATTTTTCAGCATCTAGACATCATTTTTGATCATGTGGAGAAGAGAACCACACATGCAGGACATGCTTGCAACTATTTGCATATTTAAATGGTGACGTGACAGAGCGGCACTCTGTAATCCCTGGTTCTTTTAGCTTTATCAACTAATTCCATGCTTCTTCAGCAGACATCAGTAAAATTATTCAGCACTCAGTATTAATACTGTTTTTTTCACCGAAACACAAATGTGTCTCGTTTTAGATATTTTGTTTTATTTCTATTTTTGTTGTTTCCAGTATTTGTCCATTTGTTGCTTACTTTCTCTGGCTGTCTGTGAGTGTGATGCCCTGGGTGGACACTTTAAAGTGGACAGTGGTGGCATCAGGAAGAGGGTTGGTGTCCAACGTCTGACTAATTGCCTTTGCAATGGCCTGAGGCCCCGTCAGAGACTCCATGTCCACAGAGTTGATGTAGAGGACATTACAAGCTGGAAATAAACAATAGAGGCTCACTGTTAAACAGTAAAAGAGATGACTGTAAAAACATAAAAGTAGAAGGCGATGGAGGGTCAGTGTTAAAGAGATCGCCCACTACTTGCACACATTGTCCTTAATTTATTTTCCTATTATATTAAAAGTTGTTTGTGACACATGAAAATGCCTAATTACCTAAATAAAAAAAGATATACTATAAGTTTATTATATTTTTCACTTAAGGACGTCGCCATTATTTTACCGGCACAATGCATTCTGGGTCAATGACGTACATTGGTTGTAGTAGAGACTAAAGCACAAGGAGTTAAGGCTATACATTTATAACATGTGACAATTAAGTTATATTTTGTATTAGTCTTTATGCACAGTATATGGGTTGAAATTCAAACGGGATCAACTTGTGATGTTTAACTTATTAGCTTTGGAGCAATGCTATACAGTAGTCCTTCATTTATCGCAGGGGTTGCATTCCAGACATCTCAGCGATAGGTGAAAATCCACAAAATAGGACATAATATTTAATTTAGTATATATATATATATATATATATAT